AACTGCCTCTATAAATGAAATTCCGATGAAAACAATTTTTGTTTTACCGTGATAATGGTGGTTGTATTCTCCAATTGTATTGCGAATTGCCTAGCCCTGCTCATTATGTTTTATTGTTATTCATCCTATGCGAATATGGAGTGACCATATCAAATGTTTTTGAAAAGCATTAACCACACACTACACGTGTGCCACTACGCAGGATGGATCGATGATTCCCTGAAAGCGGCAGCGTCAATGCACCCATCTTAAGGCCTGCCGTGTTCCGTAGATCTTCCGCTTTTGTTGACTCAGGGTCGGGTCATACTTCGCGATCTTATTCTTTTCGTGAAGTAGATACGTGTCGATCTAGTCGAAACGTATCTACTACATTCGAACTGCAAACCGAACTGTAAAAGTATGACCCGACTAGTTGAATTAGACATTCGACAAACCAATGGGCTCACTACTTGCGGTGATGCAATACTGCGGCCATCACCCATAAGAAGGAAACTCTACCGCCCACCGTAAAACTCCGTCAATCCGTAAGAACAATAAGAAATAAATATGAACTGATTCCTGACGGTAAGTTTATCGTTTGAGTTACTATAAAACAGGAACATTACAAAAATAGCCACTTCAAAAGATCCTGTTCAGATTCGATTAGGATCCTTCAAAGGCAGACGGTACTAACTTTGTTCGCCTGCTGGGTGTAAAGAAGAGCTGCCAACGCGAGAAAAAAAAGGAAATGGCTTAAAATACGAAAAACAGGCCCAGTTTGTTACCCATAGCTTTCCGCGCAGGGTGATGTTCATCTGTGCTGACGTCATCAAGGTGAATGCTCAGCTCCGCCTCTCTTCTAAAACATCTAGAGCTCGACAGCGGGGGAACACCAGCTGAAGTAGCCAATCGCGGGCGTGCACAGCTGCGAAAAAAATTTGCTTTCATGGTTAAGGCCTGTTAATTCGCAAAGGGTGCACCCCTCCCGGCAGACCAATTCTTACCCCGCTCTCTTAGGACTTCTTCATAGCAGGTATATTTCCCCTTCACCGGCTTCCAATTTATCATACCACCTGGCTTGAAGAGAACTGGAATGTCGACCATGTGGCGTTCTGGCTCACGATGTATGAGGAGTTATTCCCAAGCCTTTCAATGTACTTACTCCTCAGAGCCACTTTTATAATTAAACGACCCCGTAGGGATGGAAGGCTTGGTTGGCCCGAGTGAATTACTACCGAGGACTTGATCCTCGGACCGCTTGCGTGGTAAGCGCGCCCGCTTGTCACTACACCACTTCCGCCCTCGGTACTGAGCTAGAGGGAGTAAATATTTTTTGAGGAGTTTCCCCCACTAGGAAATTGTTCATGCATCTCTGGAGCTCTTTCCCCATTTAGAATCATTATTCGGGTCCACAATTTCTTTTTCACACCACCCCATCTTTCCGTCCTGCTTCCCTTC